TCATCTTTATTTAAATAAACATGGCTCATTATTCAGATTTCCAATCAATATGGGAATGAGTCTAGGCGAAGGTGAAACGCTTTCGGCGGAAACTGGAAGATGAATCACGTTGGAAAAGGGGACTTAACCGGTGGAACAATAAAACCAACTGATCAGCCTTTAATTTACGGCACTCGCTGATAAGGAAAGCGCCCGAAAGATAAATGATAGCGAGGAGATAACGCTTTTTGCCAGAATCGGCGTAACAACTTCCGGTGGGGTACAACAATAACAACAATAACAAAGGGTGGGGAATCAACTTCTCTCTCTCCCACTCTCTCTTTGGCTTTTGCTCCCCCACAACAACACAGAAATTAAAGCATGGCAATGCCGTCAGCTGGTTTCTCTCTCTCTCGCGTCTGATCTGCGAGTTTTTTCTGGCTTTGCATTCAATTCTCAACGATTCATTGCCGCGGACGGCTGCAAAAGTTTTTTTTGTTAATTTAACATTTTTTAACTCGCTGCGTTTTCCGTGTTTTTGTTTTATAATGTGCAGCTTCGACTCGCAGTACAAACGTAGCATTAAGTTAAAAACGAGATTGGCCATTGCTGGTTAAAAGCGACCGATGTAAATATAAATAATAAAAAAGTGCGAGTGCATCGCTCATTGCGTGACTTTCCAACAAGCTCATATGTACATATATAAATGCGCAGCGTTTTCTTATCGCATGCTAGATTGCGTGGATGTGTGTGTGTTTGATTTCGTGTGATTGTGTGTAATTGCAAGCAAGAAGTACAAATGTGTATGTAGGTTATGGCAAAATTAGCACCAAAAACCATCTCCCATGTAACAAAAAAAAAAGAAAGAGATACGAAGAAGACAGCACGCAACCAACTGTTGATACCTTCTCCTCCTCTCACCTCCCTCCCCACCTTTATCCAACTTTATCGCTGTTTCTCCGCCTTGTTGTTTGCTTATCATCAATGCGGTGACACAATTCAAGTTTAATCGAAGCGACAACAAATTGAAAAGTGTGAGGAAAATCTCAGTGATGTAATTTGCATAAACAAAAACAACAAGAAAGCCTCCGCAGCGATAAAAACAACAACAATCATCGGCTTTTTGCAGACCGCAGACTAAACGCATACATAATTTTTGGAGTGACTTCAGGTTTAAACTTTAAAGCTGCTCCATGTAGGCAGCTCCCCAACGTTGTTTTTGCCGTCTTCGCCAAACACACTTGTCGCATGTGGAGTCCCTCGAGTTTGTGATTAAAGCTGCTTGAATCCGATACGATACGGGTAAATAAATAAATAAACACTGTGCTGAGTGGAGGTAAATAATGTGGGCTACACAGAAAAATAAATACAGTAAATATTCTGGCTAAAAATGTCTTAATTGCGGAATTTGTTATACATTTTTGGTCATAAGAGACAAAAATTAGTTTTGCCCAAAAAAAGTGTTTAAAGAACCATAATTCCTAACATCAAAGTGAATTAAAAATGTTTTATGGGCTATAATACAGGGAATATAAAGAACGTTTACTGTACATAATAAATATTTAACTAATATGACTAATTTGAGCACCGGTATCTTTAGCCTTCTTTGTATTGCAAATTACAATTTTACCCAGACGATATAAATTAAAAGAGCTCATGGCTAACTAACATTTGCTTTTATGTTATTTGATTTTACAAAGTAGAACAAAACAGTGATTCAGTTTATAAAGTGGTTTTATTTAAACAGTAAATTCACTTTTTATCAGTTGCGTGACCTTACACTTATGACGCCGTTCTGTAAAGAACAATCTGTAACGGAATTTCTCACACTGTGAATCATCCCCGTGATGAAATGGTTTTGATATTTAAAAACCAGTTTCGATTGACGTATTTGTATGGGTTGCCTTAATGAGGAGGAATTTACATTTGAGGAGTCTCTTCTGTACATTCTCTAGATCCTTTCTCGTACACTTAAATTTTATTTCTAAAGAGTTTTTAAAGTTTAAAAGAGGTATTTCATAACCGAAATTCAAAGAAAAGGTTATATATTTCTGTCCATTGACGCTTCAACATCATATCCTATTAAAATTCAGCACACAACATTATATTAAAGCTGATTTTCGGGGTAATGAAGTCGTAAAGTGTCAAAAGACTATAAAAAGGAAGCCATATCTGATTATAAGACTTACTTCTTTAAACCATTAAGGGGTAAGAGGGATTATTAAAGCAAGGAGGAGTTATAATGCTGAGATTAGCTCTGTTAAACCTTTTGCATCTCATTATTTAGGCAAGGCAATCTTCTAGCCTCTATATAACTGAACTGAAAGAACCGGCGAATGCCTTAAATGCCGCAGACGCCCACAGAACGATGGCAAGGTGCTGAGTGGCTGAGTGACTGCCACGAGATATAGACTCGCAGATAGCCAGTGTTTCGATTCCAACCGATTCCATTCGACTTGAGTCACAGCCGGTGGCGGTTGGCAGTGAAATCCAAGCCAGAGTAAGCAGGTCTTCCACTTTGTACCCATTCCCCCATTCCCCCTGGCATACCATCTTGGACCACCTATCTCCTCACCTGGCTCCACCTCCACCTCCCCCTCGATTCCGTCTCCTCCGCTGACGTGTGTGTCATGCGGATGGATGGCTGGCCAGCAGAAACGTCAGCGGCAGTCGCGGCGTCGTCGTCATTTGCTGCTTTTAGACAATGCTACAAGTTCCTACACCTACGACCTAGAATTTGCCGAATATGTCAACAGGTATATACTCTATTCGTGGCCGTAAAGCGAATAAACTACGCACACACAAACACCCGGCTATATCTCTACTTTTCTATATACGCTATAGCTATCTATATGTTCGAACATGTTTGTATAAATAAAAGGGGAATTCATTTAAATTTATTTATATTATTTTTTTTTTTTCCTGCAAAATTCATTTTCGATTTGTATTTATAATCTCGGGTGGTACTAAATCTGTTGCAACATATGAGAACACTAATCCTAACGAATGAGAAATGTTTAGGTATATTTTGGTCGAGAGGAAATGCAGCAAGTGAAACGGAAAGTGTAAAGTATTGCGATTCGAACTTGCACGATAATTCGCGCCCCTTGAAAAGTTCAGCTGCCTTTGTAACGGTAACCAAGGCCGCACATCTGCCATCCCTTTCCCACCTGTTTGCAGCATGCGCACTGCGATTTTCCCGACCAGAAAAAGGAAAATGGCCCAGGGCCAATACGGTGGTTCCATGGTGTAATGGTTAGCACTCTGGACTCTGAATCCAGCGATCCGAGTTCAAATCTCGGTGGAACCTGAACCTGGCTTAGGGTTCTTATTTTACCAGGTCAAAAAAAGTGTTTATAATAACAGATAAATCTGTGTTAAATTTCGAAAATTGGAGTGAATAAATGTCTTAAAATGTTTAGTTGCTTCCGTTGTCTTTTAACTTTAAATCTTAGCTTTAAATATTATCAATAAATAAATATAGGAGATAAAAAAAAAATCAAGAATAGTTACTTGAATTAATTTAAATGCTTGAAACGATTTTAATCAGCTTACAATACATGTGAATTAATATTCGTAAATAATAAATTAGTTCTGACGAATCTTTAATTATTTTACAAATAACGAAATAATCAAGTGCACTGAGTGAATTTAAATATTATAGTTTTGAGTGCGTTCATCAAAAATAATATCTATAAACATATTTGAATACGTACAGTATATATCTTTAATCCATTTTGCTTGAACGCTTGTCTTTGTGTTAATAGACAAATTTATGTGACTCTACGCACACGCACCCCATCGAAAGCCATAAATTAGATCACACAAAAATGTGAGAAAAAAAATATAAACACGAACAAATCGGGTGAACCGCCCATAAGAACCGAATCTCAAGATACAACCCACATCAAGACCAACATAAACACAACAACCCATCGATGTTGGTCAGTCGAACAACAAGTTTTGAAGTTCAGTTTCGGTTTGAGATTGCCGCCGAGTGTGTAAAATGCAAATTGTCATGTCACTTGGCCGGAGGGCTAATTCAAGCCAAGCACTTTCCTCCGCCACAGCCAACAAACAGACAATTGGCCGCTGTAATGTTTGATAAAAAAAACACTCGCGCATGAAATCAAGCCAAATTGTGTCAAGGGGGCTGCATGACAACGAGCGGCAACAACAATACAAATTAAATAAAATTAGCGACTATTTTGCACGAAAGTGGGGGGAGATAGGAGATCAGGGTTCCGAGATCCGCGAGGGGGGCGGAAAACGCTTGAGCAACTTTGCCCCAAAAGTTGATGGACGGCTAACTGAGCGCCCTACACATGCGCCTTATATTTCTCTCTCTCTCTCTCTGTCTACACGGAAGAAAACTCCTACTTCGTGTAAAGAAAATAAAGATACGTGAATTGTTCAAATAAATCTCAGATATTTTAATCTTTAATCAGGTTTAACTTTGTTTAAAACTAAATAATTTTTAAAAATTCATAAAATATATCCAAATTAGGCTTCTTAACTACGATACCTGATCTACATATTGTATGATATCAAAATGATATTACTTGTATTTTTCATTTATAATCTTTTTGCATTCTCAACTATGGCCCTATAAGTCTAAAAAATATCATATGTTTATTTTATGATATTATGATTATGTTAAGATCTTTAATGTTTTGGTTTTTTTTCCATGTACTTACTTGGTCTCTCTTTCTCACAGTTTGCGTGTGTGGGCGATGGCATAATGGGGTTTTCGAACGACATTGAACTCGAAAAATTGAAAAGTGTCGGCGGCCCATGCAAACCAAGCTGTCTTTGACTTTGCTTTACTCCCATTCGTGTGTGTTGCTCTATTTGTTTATCTTTTCTATTTCGCCTTTGCTTTTTCTGCAACAAGATCAAAAACAAAATCGAAATTCAGTTCTGTCGAATGCTGACTGCTCCCAACGGTACACTCAAATCCCCATCTATAAGTATTGGGAACCCTCGACTAACACGCCTCTACAATTGTTTATATTTTGCAGAAGCCAGAGGAGGATCCGACCGAAAAATAAACGCATTGGATTGCAATTTCTGCTGGCCCAGCGAGAAACAGAACAAATAAGCGCAGAAGGAGCCACCAAGAAGTCGAGTACACATCTCCAAAATGGTGGACTACTATAAAGTTTTGGATGTGGCGCGCTCAGCTACCGACAGTGAAGTGAAAAAGGCGTAAGTAAGCGAATAAATTGGGATCCATGGGGGGAAGCTTTCAGTGGTATATCCGGTCGAGAGCTGACATTGCCTTAATCGAATCCAATTTGGGTGAATCCCCTTTTACCGTTGGCGTTTCCTCTGAATTTCAACTTAAACGTAATTAATCAACTCGGTCTTTTAAAAAAACGATCCATTTTGGAGTATGCTTTAATATTTGTATACAAGCAATGGCTTTTAAAGAAAGATACAGTGAGTAAAAATATAAAATTAGTATGATCTTATCTGAATTTAAATCGGGTATACATTTGTATAAAAAATTGGGCTTTTAAAGACAGATACAGTGATTAAAAATATGAAATGAAGTATACTCTTATCTGAATTTAAGATGGGTATAAATTTTACTAAATCACTTTATTTAACCCTTACAGATATCGAAAATTAGCACTGAAATGGCACCCAGACAAGAATCCCGACAACCTGGATGAAGCCAACAAACGCTTCCGCGAGCTGTCCGAAGCCTACGAAGTCCTGTCCGATGGTAAGTTTCTACTAGAGAACACATCTAACCAACCATTTCTTCGAACCCGTAAACATAAAAAAAGGGGGATTCAAAAAATCGAGATAATCCGTAAGTCGTAACGGAAGCAATGCTAAGTTTCTATTGTGTGTTTAGCACGTAAGCGCAGGATCTACGATGCCCGTGCCACGCTGCACAAATCTTCGGCCACCGGAAGCAGCAGCAGCTCCTATTCCCGCTACCGCAGTGGTAGCGGTGGATCATCGTCCTACGGTCGGGACTACGACTACGAATACTATCCGAGCTCGGGCTACGGATCCGGATCCGGTTCCGGCCGACGGTCCGGCAACCGCTACCAGGCCTTCACCTTCCGCAACATTTTCGAGGGCACTCCGTTCCACAAGTTGTTCGGTAAAGGCCAGCGGCAGTTGCAATTGTATGGTTACTTTCGTTTTGCTGACTGACATCCTGGCGCACGTTGTTCTGTTCTTGTTCCGTTCTTTTTTCGCAACTAAATGCTGTTCCTTGCAGTGATGGGAAGCTTCTATATTTTGCTATATTGCTTAGAAAGAAAAACGAAAGCCTATATTCGTTACAAAGATTAATTACAGAATTTTAAATATACACTTTACGTATATTACAGTTAAAAGAAAGGGTTTCACAAATAATAATAAATACTTTCTGAAAAGAGGTTCTTAAATCTCAATCCCACTTCTGTAAATTATTTAACATAACTCTTTTTACTATGGTAAAGACTAAATAGTACCTCTCCCATCACTGGTTCCTTGTTAGATCTAAGCTAACTCCCCGCAGCTCGAGCGTTTATTACTAATAACACTTAATTTTCTTGATTTCCTCGACTTACTCTGCTTTTCAATTTGTTTTCCACAGAGAAGAAGCGTCGCATCTACGACGAGTACGGCAAAGATGGACTGGGTGAACGTGGCCAGAGCCGCTCGCATACCCGCCACCATTATAACACACACGATTTCGATGACTTCGATATTATGGGCGGCTTTCCGTTCGTCTTCCGACCGCCCGAGGAGGTGTTCCGCGAGTTCTTCGGCGTCAACTCGCCCTTCGCCGACTTTTTCAGAGGTAAGTTATTCGATAAGAAGCTTTAGTACAAAGTGTTAACTAGTCTTTGCTGTTTTTCTTCAGATGCCAACGGATATTCGAATGGAAGCACGAGCGGCTCGAGCAGCAGTCGACGCCATGGCGGCAGCGGTGGAGCGTCTCGCCACCATCATCACCACCAGCACAAATTGGCCAGCCCGTTCGGGGCTCCCATGCTCAACTACTCCATGATGGACTTCTTCATGCCCACCAGCGGCTTCACCTCGTTCTCCTCGATGACCAGCGGCAATGGCAGCAGCGGCGTCACCCACATCTCCAGTGGCCCCAGCGCCGGTGTCAAGCGCACCTCCACCTCGACGGTGTTTGTCAATGGCAAGAAACTGATGACCAAGCGGTACGAGAAGACTTTTTATATAAACATTCAATGGTTATTAAACAATATTCACTTCCAGGGTCGTCGAAAACGGCAAGGAAACGGTCTTTTCATATGAAAATGATGTCCTTAAATCAAAGACTGTGAATGGAGTTTCCCAAAAGCTCTCTTCAATAGCTAATTAATAGAACCCACACATATAAATATATATATATCAATATCAGCATCAGCACCGGCGTTTGCCGCAACAACAGTAACAGCAACAAAAATCAACAAAGAAAAAGTCATAAATGTAAAGCAGAATATTAACAAACCAAGAAGAACTCGGATTTCTTAAATGCTTCGATATATGATACGTTTAACCATTTTGTTCTACATTAGAATTTAATTACTTTTAATGGAACGAGGAGCAGCATAAATGGATCAGCAGCCAGCGGAGGACCAAGCCAGAGCTCACCAACCAGCAGTAGCAGTAGCAGAAGTAGCAGCAGCAGAAGCAACATCCACATCAAGGAACAAGGGCAAACATAAATTATCAAAATTCCTTGTGATAGCGAATTGTCGAAATTTATTGTTTGAGAGCGCTTTTTAACTAAGCTGCTCGACACAATTGCACCGGTGGAATAAAGCCAAGACCATCGGCAGCAGGATCAACTAAAACACAACTGAAAATGCTAAGCGCTTAAGCAATTTAGCCAATAAGTTCTAGGGCGGGCCAGAGCGAGTGTGTTTGGGTGTATATCTTTGGGGGGATAACTATGTATTTTTCGTGTATGTATCGTTAGTCACTTAAGTTGCCACAATACTTACTAGGAAATCGAAAATGGAAAAAGCAAACGATCTTAGCAACATGCAGATAAACAAAATTGAAATGATTTGAATGGCTTTGCGTTAGTTTTTCTGTACATTGTAAAGGATATGAAATGAACGACATGAAGCATATATAAAGGATGACATTAAATGTTTATAAATATTTCATAACCTAAACCTTTTATTAATTGTAATGCCGTATCCTAGCGTATAGTCGTTTTTTAAATGCTTAAGACTATTCTCACATAACCTGCAAAACGAATTCGAGGAGAAAACAAACAAAATTAATCGTAACATAATCGCCCATAATTTAATAATTTTGTTCTAGTAGAGCCTCCATAATGAAAATAAAAGAGACAAAAAAAACGTGAAAATTGAAATATAAAACAAAAGCGAAGCAATTAAATCGAGTGTGTTTTGATCGTGGGTGTAAACTTGTGATGAATACTTAAATATGAAATTGGAACATATAATTAGGATCTTCCATGAACAGATAAAACTAATAATTACGAATTAAAATTTCAAGACAAAGAGGTTTTGTGTTTCTGATCTGGGTTTTTCTTACAAGTGGTTAACCTAAGCTTGAGTCACTGATCTGAAGTTAAAGTTAGGTTGAAGTTATTTATGAATCAGCCGTACAATTCATCGCTTCTTAAATTTCTGGAATGTTTTGTTGAATTGCCTATGATTAATAATGAATAATAGCCATGCGTAAGGAAAACACTATTAATTCCCTATGAGTTCACAAAAATCCAAAAATAAAATTTTTATTTAAACCCCCGCCAACGGTTATTTTAGTTGGCAACGCGATGCATCTGGTCACACTTGCCAACCTCCACAAGATAAAGTGGTATTTTTCAACATTCCGTCCACGATCACACGATCGTGTAAATTATTAACAAAAAGAAGCGATATTGGAGCAAATGGCCCAAAAATGAGTGATCCCATGAAGTGGTTCCACGGCAACCTGTCCCGCGAGGCAGCCGACGATCTCCTCAAGCAAGGTAAATTCGTAAGCGGAGTGTCCGTCTCCCTGGGCTCATCAATGAGCCCCGAAGATGTGGGCGTGGTGGAGCCTAATGAAGTGTAATTGAAATCGCAATCAACAGGTTACGAGGACGGGACATTTCTGGTGCGCGAGAGCAGCACGGCTTCCGGGGACTTTGTGCTGAGCCTGCTCTGCCAGGAGGAGGTGTGCCACTACCAGGTGCGACGACATGGCGGCGAGGACGCCTTCTTCTCCATCGACGACAAGGTGCAGACGAAGATCCTGCATGGCCTGGACACGCTGGTCGACTACTACCAGCAGTCGGCGAATGGTTTGCCCACCAAGCTGACGGTGCCTTTGATTCGGGATCCGCCACCGCACAACACCCGCAGCCACGGAGTGACCAATCTGCTGCACCGCGCCACCAGCAAAAACGAGAGCAAGGTGGTCTTCGAGCTGCTCAAGTGCGGCTACCGGAACTTTGATGCCAAGAACCAGGATGGACAGACGGCTCTGCATCTGGCGGCACTCCACTCGGACGAGGATATCCTAAAGGAGCTGCTGAATGCAAAGGTCCAGGTCAACAGCTCCGACTCCTTTGGCTGCCAGCCATTGCATGTAAGTCCTTCCTTTAATGAAATGTATGCAGCTCTCTTTAAATCGCATCCAAATGTATTCCACAGTACGCGGCCCGCTCCAAGCCGGCCAGTTTTATACGCACTTTGATCGCAGCACAGGCGAATGTCCAGGGCAGGAACATAGAGAACGGCTATGTGCCGCTCCATGAGGCCGCCAAGCACGGAAACCTCGAGGCTGTGCAGGAATTGCTTTTGGCTGAGGCTCCGCCGCTGCCGAGGACCAGTTCGGGTGAATTCCCATTCGACCTGGCCAAGGAAGCGGGTCAGACGGCCGTGGAGGAGTTCCTACTCAACTACAAGCTACCAGCAGCAAACACCACGCGAGAGCAGTGGTACCATGGCACACTCACCCGAGACGAGGCCGTGGCCATACTCAGAAACTACGCCAGGGAGCTACTGGCGAAAGAACCGGGCGTAGACACCTCCGGCTGCTTCCTGGTTCGCTACTCCGAGTCGCCGGCGGCCTCTGGATTAGTTCTCACCCTGCTCAGCGATCAGGTGGTCAAGAATTTTCGTATTTCACAAGCTGATCTCTACCAGAATGGCGTCAAGTTGCAGTCCGGCGGGGTGGGTATATCAACAAAATGTATCTAATGGCAATTTTAAAAACATCTTCCCTTTGCAGTCCAAGTTTCTGTACATCGATGACGGCCCCTATTGGCCCAGCGTGGAACATCTGATAGCCCACTTTATGCGCTTCTCGTACGGATTGCCGGTGAGCCTAAAGTTTCCGGTGCCGCCACAGCCCAAGCCAGAGGTGCCCTCGTTTGCCACCATACCTCGATCCTCGGTGAGGCCGAAAGCTACTTCGCCAGCCACACCGCCGACGCCCGTGTCGCCACATCCGCTCCATCAACACCCGCATGTGCCCGCCCTGACCATAGCGAAGAAAAAACAGAAGGAGAACAGCAGCTCCATGTTTAACACGCTGCGTCTGACGAGTCCGAAGAAGGCGCTGTTCGACATGAACAGCCTGCGCAAGAGCAAGTCCAAGGGCAAGCGCAGTGAGTCGGAGAGCAGTGTGAGTGGTTCCCAGGCCAGGACGGAGCAGGAGCTGCAGGCAGCGGCCCCTATGCTGAAGAGCCTTTCCTTCTCCACGGAGTTCTCTACGTTTAATGCGGATGGTGGAGGAATCGCCGCTGGCGAAGTGTACAACGTGCCCAGGAACAACACACCCATTGAGATTGATCTGCCGCCCATTGCCCAAAAGACTGAAGCCGAAGTTGAGTATTTCACGAAGAGCGATGTGGCCATCGAACGGGAGCGAGCTGCCCAGTGGCTCACCAATGGGTATCAGCAGACGGTAGACGTGCTCACCCTATTGGATCAGCAGATCAAGGCACCCGCAGCGGCGCGACTCAACTCAGTTGTTTCCTCCGCTTCAACGGAAAGTGAGATGGCCAGTTACCTTCATCGAAAGATCAGCAACACTCCCACCACGCCCAGTTCCACCGCCGTGGAGGCGGCCAAGCTGAGGTTCTTCATTGAGCCGGAAAATCTAGTGCTGGACAGCGAAATTGGACATGGGGAGTTTGGTTCCGTTCACAGCGGCTGGCTGGTGAGGAAGGGCGTTGCCGGTGAGGATTATCGCATGGAGGTGGCCATTAAGATGCTCAGCGATGAGCACAGCAACAAGCAAGAGTTCCTGCGCGAAGCCTCGGTGATGATGCGATTGGAACACCAGTGCATTGTGCGTTTAATTGGTATTTCAAAAGGAGAGATGCTGATGATGGTGCAAGAGCTCGCTCCACTGGGCTCCATGCTGCAGTACATCCTGGATCACGGCTCTGAGATCACGGCCAATTCGGAGCTGAAGGTCTGGGCCTCGCAGATCGCCTGTGGTAAGTGTAACTAAATGCTAAATGTATTTAAATGCTCACTTTTCACTACTTTTACTAGGCATGCACTATCTGGAATCTCAGCATTTCGTGCACCGCGATCTGGCCGCCCGGAATATTCTGCTGACCGCTCGGCACCAGGCCAAGATCAGTGACTTTGGCATGTCGCGATCCCTGAGGCCCGGCAGCACGGAGTACCAGTTCACCCAGGGCGGCCGTTGGCCCATCCGCTGGTACGCCCCGGAAAGCTTCAATCTGGGAATATTTTCGCACGCCAGCGACGTCTGGTCCTTTGGAGTGACCATCTGGGAGATGTTTTCCCTGGGCGCACCGCCCTACGGCGAAATATCCAATGTGGATGCCATTAAGCTGGTGGACAGCGGGGAACGCCTACCGCAGCCCAATCTCTGCCCTGCATACATCTATGCCGTGATGCAGAGCTGCTGGAAGGAACGGCCCAAGGACCGGCCCACCTTTGTCTATCTCACGGAGTTTTTCGCCCGCGATCCCGACTATCAAAACCTGCCGGAGTTGGTGCAAACGGTTCACATTTAAACCAGTTCCCCTTTTCCCGTTCACAGTGCAATTTTCTACAGCTAATTCTATGTCTTCTATTCCGTTTTGTGGCGTATTAAAGGGAGGACTTCCAGACCATGATTGTTATCCCGTATCCTAGTATTCATGTTTATAGCTTGTAATATATTTTATATACAGATGTACAACCAATTTGTGTCAAAAGAATGCGAACAAGTGCCTTAAAAGATTTACCATTTTAACTTTGTATTCATGTTTACAAATCTATTTTGTTTTATATTGGTTATACGCAATAAAGATAACTATTTTTGTATGGATTTTCAACTATACTTATTTTAGGGCAACACACAACAGCAGTTTGTTTTAGATTTCAATGTTTAAACATTTAATTGCAGTTCTTTTATATAAAACGGGGTAACAAAAGTAAATAGTTTGCTTGTAAAACGCTTAAATGCTAGGTTAGTAATATGGTTTCTTGGAAAGACTAAAGCTATATTAGGGCGTTGGTGAAACTACATAGGGGATATTAATTTTTTTTTTGTATTTTTTCGAGCTAACACAACAGATATCATGCCGTTCCGTTTATTGCCTGCTTTACGTTCGATGCGCTGACGAGCTTCAGGGCGCCCAGAATGCCGTTCAGGTTCTCCTCGTTGTAGGGTTTGCCCTGCAGCGGAGTGACCACCGGAACGATCTGCTCGCTCTGGGGCAGCTGGATGCCGATCTCTTTCATTAATCCCTATAGAAAGTACAATGATTAGTGAATGAAATAATAATTAATAAAAAGATATGCCTTACATCCTCCACTTCCACGCTCAGTTTCAGCTTCATGTCCTGCTCGTCGCCCTTCACATCCAGATCCTTCTGCACCGTGAACTTGGGCGTCTTGCCGATGACCCACTCCCAGGAGCTGTAGTTGGAGCGCAGTTCCTCGATCCCAGGGAACCACTTCTCAGTGGGATTAATCAGCTGGAAGCCGCGCTGCTGCGACGTCTGCGTGCTGCCGCCGTCTTCCAGCTTGGTGGCCGCCGTCCTCAGATACTCGTAGCCCACGGCGGAGCGCAGCTGGGCCACGTTCACCGACCGATTGACATCCACAAGATTGCGGATTGGCGACGGCACCGAGGCAGTCGCTCGGCTAATGTAGTTGGCCGGCTCCCGCACCAGAGATTCGCCCAAGTGCAGCTTGTTGGCGCTGGCCAAGATGGTGCAGTGGTGGTACGCGTTCGGGTGTCCCAGCTTGGCTGCCGTCCCGGAAATCTGTAATTGATCAAGGGCAACCTGGTTAAATGGGCAACAAAGACCAGATGCACAGCGCCAGCTGTTTGTAAAGTGGGCTGACGATTGTATGGGGTCACCGAGGGGTCGCCCCGTTTCCTGATAAGACCTAGCCGCTCCTCCTCACCTTTTTGTTCATCACCACAATGTCGTCGCGCTCGTTAATCTCCGCCTTGATGGCCCACTCGCGGAACAAAGCCCTGGTCACGATGTTCAGGTTGTACTTGCGATCGTAGCGCTCTCGCGGCGAGAAGAAGGTGCAGTTCAGGTTGCCCAGATCATGATAGACGGCTCCACCGCCGCTATTGCGACGGGCCAGGGTGATGCCGCGCTCCACCAGCCGCGAGACATTGGCCTCGGTGAAGGGGTTCTGGTGGCGTCCGATGACCACGCACGGATCGTTGGCCCACAGCAGCATGACATGGTGGTGGCTGAAGTCGAAGTTCTTGTACAGCCAGTCCTCCAGCGCCAGATTGGTGAAGACATCGCTGGACTGCGAGATGAACACGGACTTCTTGATCTCCGAATCGGGCACTACGGGTGGGGGTTCTCGCTTGGGCTTCTTGGACTCCTCCGGCGACGGCGGCTTCACCCCGCTGGAGGCCAGGCGCGTGACCTGACCACCCGAGGAGAGGAGCAGCCGCAGCTGGCTGGAATTGCGACGCAGCAGCCTGCTCATGGCGGAGACAAGGAAGTGAGGTGTGCGGCGAGTGATTTCTGTTGCCAGGTGAACTGAGTAGCAGTGCACTTGCAAGCGAAACAAGGTCAATGGTGTCGAAAAAAGCTCTTGACGGGTTGATCGTTCAGATGGGTTGGTTTCTACGGTTCTGTGTGCGCTCTGCTTTAGGTTATGTCTTTGTTTTTGGGCTACTATCTACGCTGTGTATTCGTTTTGGTTTTTTCAGATGGCTTTGGTCGCTCTGGACTTTAGACTGTGGCGTTCTGGCCGAATCGGGATGTGTTTGCAGCCACGGAGCTGGCCGAGATTAGGTATTCGTGCAGAGCGGGCGTCTGATGCAGCCACTTCCAGGTTTGGTGCAGACCACAGACACGCTTGCGGAGACCCAGACAGTCCTTGTTGGCACAGTTCACTGGCATACTACGCCTCACACCCATTTAGGTGGGGGATACTACGGATCCGGTGTTTACGGGGGGCCGCAGCGTTACGGGCCCAAGGGAATACTGGTTGCTGGTTGCCAAAGGGTTTTTTCAGCTGACACGGAAATTTTCCACTCTTTGTTCGCGATCTAGGGGCGCGCGGGGGGGATGGTCGGGCGATCGCGGGTGGGCGGGGGTATTATATTATACCACAAACAAACAGAGGCGATCGGAAAGCAGCTGCGCGTGTGGGAAAAGCACGACCGATTGGCTTTCGTTTCAGATGAGCAGTGAGTACGGCGGCTCTTGTTCTTCTTGTACGGCCCCCAATTGCCATTCGCAGCGATCAACTGAAAGCTCTAGCACTAGTACATATGTTTAAAAAATGGCATTGCCGCCTTTAATTTTAATCCATTTAATTCGATCTTGAATAATTTACGCTAAACATGTGTGATTTTTGAGTGACGCCTAAAACAGCTGTGACATTAGTGTTTATTTTACAAGCAGCACACTGAGGGGGTCTTTCTAGTTCGGAATACCCCCATTGTTGATGTACGCCGCCTCCTCGGGATCGATGGGCTTGCGGGCAAACCGCGCCGGCAGCTCGTAGTCCTCGATTGCAGCTCCCCCGGCCAGCTAAGGGAAGAGTTAAAGAATCGGTTATTATATCCACCATAGGTCCTAATATTTTGTAGTTAATGAAATGGGCTGGGTTAACCTTTTTGCCTCCTGCTGGCTGGGAACTTGCCTGCTGGTTGGCGGCCTGGGCGCCCAGCGTCCCCACTCCGCCCTTGCGGAAGTGGATGAGCGGCACGCGCTTGGCCAGTGTGACGAGCGTTGGGCGAACCATTTCAATAACAATTTAGTTTCTACCGAAATCCAAGGAAAAAGTAAAAGTTACGTGAATAACAGCTGACTGTAAACTCCCTGCAGGGCTGCCAGATCGCTGCACTTGCTGCCTATCGTTATCGAAATGTCCGTGCTCCATGTGAATGGCTAAGCGGTGAAGAGGAAGCAGAGAAAAACTATTTTGGTTAAAATCGGCTACTTTGTTGTAATTCAAGTGAATTATGGATAATAGACAGCCGGCTGTCGAGTCGTTGAACTGTGGAGCAGTTTATTCAGATAATTGGCTAGCTAGGGCTTTATCCAAGCAATAGGGAGGCCTCGGCTTTAACGTCTATACAAACAAATAACTAAAGCGAGCTACATTTTAACCAGTAATTATTGTTGTTTATTTAGTTTCTGGACGATATTTAATCATTTCTAATCAAATTGCAGACAATAAAACAACTGGAGAAGACTACAGTATATTAAAAACAACCAACATATAAATAGCGTCTCAGATCCTTTCCCATAAATAATACAATGAACGCCGCTGGAGGAGGAAATGGACCCCAGGCGGCAGCAGCTGTAGGAGGCAACAGCGGTCTGAGCAACAATTCCCTCCTGGCCACGGCTTCCGGAGCAACAACGATGCCAATGGCCCAGCTGGCGGACGGTTGGCTGGAACTGGAATCCGACCCAGGTCTCTTTACCCTGCTTCTCAAGGATTTCGGCTGTAATTTCCACAATTTACCCCCATAATTCCAGAAAACCCACTAATATACTCCCCACAGGTCACGATGTCCAAGTGGAGGAGGTATACGACCTACAGAAACCCATCGAGAGCCCCTACGGTTTCATTTTTCTCTTTCGCTGGATTGAAGAGCGGCGTGCCAGGCGCAAAATCGTCGAGACAACGGCGGAGATATTCGTCAAGGATGAGGAGGCCATTTCAAGCATTTTCTTCGCCCAGCAGGTGGTGCCCAATAGCTGTGCCACCCATGCCCTGCTCTCCGTGCTGCTGAACTGCAACGAGAACAACCTGCAGCTGGGCGACACTCTCAGTCGTCTGAAAACCCACACCAAGGGCATGAGTCCCGAGAACAAGGGACTGGCCATTGGCAATACACCGGAGCTGGCTTGTGCCCACAACTCGCACGCTATGCCGCAGGCTCGGCGCCGCCTGGAGCGGACTGGAGCTGGCGTCTCCAGTTGCCGCTTCACCGGAGAGGCCTTCCACTTCGTTAGCTTTGTGCCCATCAACGGGCAGCTGTTCGAGCTGGATGGCCTGAAACCCTATCCCATGAATCACGGCGGATGGGAGGACAGCGAGGACTGGACGGACAAATTCCGGCGTGTGATGGCAGAGCGACTGGGAATAGCCACCGGCGAGCAGGACATACGCTTCAATCTGATGGCCGTGGTGCCGGACAGGCGGATTGCCATAACCCACAAGCTCAAAATGCTGCGCACCAACCAGGCAATCGTGTCGGGGACACTACAGAAGCTTCTGAAGGCCGACGAGCAGGGAGAATCGGGGAACGGAGACTCCCAACGGCCGGACACTCCCACCACGTTGCTGGAGCCGAGCGCCTTTACCGCTCGGGATCTGCAGTCGCTGCTCAAGAACCTGGACACCGAGATAGCCATCAATGAGCAGCACCTGGCCGACGAGAACGATCGGCGTCACATGTTCAAGGTGGACGCCAGTCGGCGCACGCACAACTACGACAAGTTCATCTGTACCTTCCTCTCCATGCTGGCGCACCAGGGAGTTCTGGGCGAGTTGGTCAGCCAACATCTGCTGCCGTCGAAGAAGATCAGTGGTCAGGGCGCCGCCAATCGGATCAGCAAGCAGAGCAACACATCGAATTCAGGCGGAAGCACGACAGCAGCCGGTGGAACCACGCCCAAGAGTCAGCAGCAGCAGGCGGCGGCCGCCAAAAATGGCAAATCGCCAAGTAAAACGCCGGGAAGGAGGCGAAAGGGACGCAACAAGTGCAGAAAGAGGAAGTAGGCGACCAAGAAGTTGTACATGTTTTTAAGAATACAGTTTGCATTTCTAAGACTACTCATTCCAGTATTGTTTTACTACAATTTCCCCACCAAGAACCATCGTTTAGCCTTAAGTTTCGGTTAAGTTTAGCTTTAGTGCAGCTTCTTCAAATACGAACTCAACTTGGCAGCTTCTTCATTTTTATTTGATCGCTTGTCGACCTTTTTAATATTAAAAAACCATTTTGTTCGTATGAATAAATGTTCTTGCGGCCCTTGACACACCAAGGAGCCAAATGTGTATGCATTACATATGAATAATATATATATATTTTCTGATATATATCTATATGATAGTTGTATAACAAAAACGTAATCATTCAATAATTCCTCTGGTTTCTTTTTCCAATTGGGCGAATCTTAACGTTATTGTAAAATATTTAGTTGCACTCGTTGTAAAGTTGATTCAACAAAAAACAATGCATAAAATTATGTGCAATCGATTACAAACTATAAAAGGCATTTGACGGGTTTGCAAATGGTTAACAAAACATTTATGTGTATGAACTAGACGACTTTTCGCGTTTAAAAACAAGTCAACTTTCTGTTATAGCTGGTTTTTGGGTGATAGTGTTTGGATTAGGATGCTTAATAGTGTGTTGCTGATAGTTTGCTTGACTAAGCCTAAAAGTATTTTATTGGCCTAAACCACAAAATGGTTATAGGTCCTCTATGCGTATTCTTAAATACGACGCGATGCGATGTGTGTGAGCAGTACAAGAGCAGCCTTTAAGAAAAACATATACAATTATGTTTTATTACGATGTGGGTTGTTGCTGTTGATGTTGCAATTGTTAGTAGTTGCAATTGCTGTAGTTGTTCCAAACATGGGTGTTTCAATTTTGCTCAGTCCCAAAATACGATTAACGATACGACAATGCAACGACAGGCGGCAAATTTTGTGACTTGTTGGGATTTCAATTGTTTAACTTTGCCTCTGGAGTGTTCAACTTGAAGTCGCCTCAGTGGTCGTGGCCTTCTCGCCATTCGTTAGCTGCGTGCCTGCTGCTGCTGCTGCCTGCTCCTTAACTTCCTGCGGGGCCTCCTCCTCGGCCTCTCCATTGTTGTTGGCAGCAGCCACAATGGATTTGATGGCATCGTTTACCTCGCTTTCGGCGCTGTTGGCCTTGAAATGCTTCTCAATTTCGCTGCGCACCTTGACAATGTCTTTTTGGCTGTAGTGGAGTAGAGAAACAAGTTAGAAAGCCACTCGTTGAAGGGAAATCCGCTGCAATCCTCACCTAATCTGAACGAACAGAATGCCATTGATGGTGTTCAGCATGTCCAGCACAGATCCCATCGAGGGTGGTGTGATGTGGATGGGTGGCAGATCACTGGTCAGTTTGCCACTGGAATAGATGTCGTTCATCTTGCGCTGCAGCAGCACAGCCTGCTGAGTCAGCAGACGCAGGCACTCGGCCGAGTCCCGGGTCTTCTCGTGCTTCTCGCCAAGCTATAGGATAATATAGAATGTACCTTGATTTATCTAGCAATAGGTGCAGACTTCACCCACCTGTGACTTGTAAATGGAGTAGGTTTCCTTCTCGTTGTTCAATGCCGAACGGAAGTCACCCATGCAGGACTGAGTGCGGGCCATCAGGTGATAGCTGACCGCCACATGCATGGCCTTGTTGCCGAAATATTTGAGGTTCAGCTTAAGAGCATGCTCGATAAACCGCAGCGACAACTCGTATTCACCCAGCGCATGCAAAATCAAACTTATGTTGCTCTGAAAGTAATAGATTTATAAGGTAATATTACATTCTCAACTAAACTCAGCTAAACTTACATCAATCAAGGCCACCTCCGGATGATCTTCACCGCAGATGAGCACCATCAGATAGCGTGCTCTGTATAGCAGCTTTAGGGACATGCCGACATGTCCGTTGGCAAACGAATAGAGTGATAAGTGTGTCTGCAAGAAGAATAAAATTAATATCTAAGTAATTAAACTTTAAACAGACTCCTTACGTATTCCAAAATGGTCGAGGGGTGGTCAATGCCGTTCACCCGCTCGCTCATGATCACCGCCCGCTGCTGGATGGCCAGAGCATCCTGGGCATCGCCTAATAGGTAGCTCAGCCTGGCCAGCATGCGCAGGCAGGAGCCGTTCTCCTGGTGCATCGCCCCGAACACATTGTTCAGCAGGTTGAGTGCCTCGCTGATCAGCTCGTAGCCCTCCTTGAACATGCCCTGTTGGATCTTCGCCTGGCCCGTGGTGTAGAAGTTGTAGGCGTCTGTGGCCCGCGGGCTAATGTGCTTCACCACCGGGAACACGTTGACGATGTCGTCATCGCCAAAGGTGGGCTTGTGCTTGGACTCGAAGTTATATTCGCGCAGCAGCACCTGGATGCCAACTTTGAGGCAGAAGGCGCGCAGCAGGCTGATCCGCA